CGCACATAAGGCGGACAAAACGGTTCGTTACAGTAGGTCGGTACACAATCTTTCGAAATGACAGTTCGTCGCGACGTGGAGGTGGGGTGCTCATTGCAGTGGACTCAAACTTCACGTCGGAATATTTCATAGTCTAGGTTTGTTCAAAAAGACCTGGAATTCCTGTGCGTAAAACTGATTCTCCCAGGCTTCTCCATTTTCATTACTTGTTCGTATATTCCACCTTTCTCGGATATCTTAATAAACGAGCACCACCTGTCCGCTTTAAAAACTGTTTCTTCCTCGCTATTAGATAAAGACCATGTGATAGCTCTTGCTGATTTCAATTTTCCAGATACTGTTTGGTCTTCGGTAAACGAGTCTAAATACCCTTTAATTTTTGGGTGTGTGACTGCGACAGAGATGTCATGCTCTTTTCTGGCTCTCTTTTGAGCCTTGGCCACCAATTCAAAAATTTTGGACGCCAATAAAATTAAAAATTACAAAAATTACTCACGATAGACCTACATCGACGAAGCGCTTTCGATTTAGTCACTGTAATTAAATCACTAAACAAAAAAAAAGCGAGATGGAACGTGTGAGTCGCTTCTGGGGACGCGACTCTACTTATACCCGTACTCAGTCAGTATATACATTTTTGAGCTTATGATTTTTTAGAATTTAAAAATTAAAAACAAAATTTTACATTTTACATTTTTTTGCTACATCTGTTATCTACATCTACAATGTATATTCCAAATCTAACATGTAGATTGTACATGTACCATTTATATTCTACATCTCCTCCGCTAGGGGTTGCTCGCGCACTGAACGCGGCAGAGTGTGAGAGCGAGAAAGAGAATCAGTAGCGTCAGCATCGTTGGAGAAGGAGAGGGAACCAACAGAAAATTAATTTCTTCATTCTGGCTATAATTATGATCCGATCTAATTCAGATTCAGCAATCTGGTAGATATGGGCTTTCCCTACGATACTGCGTTTTTAGTTTTATCGTATCTTTAAAATTGTGCCTGCCACAGATTTTCGTCCTTTGTGTTGGCGGAAGGGGGCGGGGCGAAATTTTGAAATACACTTGTAGCAGTGTGATATCACATGAGTCTGGAAAGCAAATTTGGTTTCTCTAGCTCTTATAGTCTCTCAGATCTAGGCGCTCATCAAGACGGACAGACGGTATATTCTTGATCAGCATCAATAGCCGAGTCGATAGAGCCATGTCTGTCTGTCCGTCTGTCCGTCTTGTTTGACGCCTGGATCTCAGAGACTATAAAAGCTATAGGAACCAAATTTTGTTTCCAGACTCATGTGATATCACACTGCTATAAGTGTATTTCAAAATTTCGCCCCGCCCCTTTCCGCCCCCACAAAGAACAAAATCTGTGGCAGGCACAATTTTAAAGATACGATAAAACTAAAAACGCAGTATCGTAGGGAAAGCCCATATCTACCAGATTGCTGAATCTGAATTAGATCGGATCATAATTATAGCCAGAATGAAGAAATTAATTTTCTGTTGGTTCTTCCGCCCCCTTCTGACAGAGACCCGCTACCTATCTCTTTCTCCCTCGCACACTCTGCCACGTTCAGTGCACGAGCAACCCCTAGCGGAGGAGATGTAAAATCTAAATGGTACATCTATAATCTACATGTTAGATGTATAATATACATTGTAGATGTAGATAACAGATGTAGCAAAAAAATGTAACATATAAATTTTTTTTTTTTATTTTAAAATTCTAAAAAATCATTCGTTCAAAAATTTATATACTGACTGTATCTCCGTGCATTCTCTTCTCTTTCTTGCCACCCACCGTCAACTAACAAAGAGAATTATTTCAGTATCGTTCGACAGGCAGCCTAATTTTCGGAAGCCGAAGAACAATAGCACTATATTTTTGTATCACAAGACGGAGCCATGTTTTCCAGCCATGCTCCGGTTATCGCAAATCACGAAAAATTGCTTATGTCTTCGAAAATGGTAAGATTCTTACGATATAAAACCGGTACCTAATGAGGATAGCAATTTCAACAATGAATTTTACTAGCACATATGTAGGTACATAAATACAAATTGGTATAAGCGGGAAAAAAATATTAACAAATTGCAGATGTTTTAAGTTATTATATTTATTAAAATTTATTTATAATCACACCTAAAATTTTATCTCACACTAAACCAAAACAAGAACGAATGCCAACTCCCGTTGACAGATAAAATATCAATCAATATCAATGGACGCGTTCACCAGGACAACAATTTCTTCCAATAGTGTTGGTGAACGCACATAATTTAATGTTTTTGATGCAAAAATTTATGGATAAGATATGAGAAATGAATCGTGAAAATGGTGCGATCCATTGGTCTCGTGTATGATGGATTGCCATTGCCTTACATTAAATAAATAAAAAAAAGCCAAATTAATAAAATATCATGATTTTAGCTCAATACTTTTACGAAGAAATATTCAAATTTTACGTGACTGTTTTTTGTTGCGAGTCGCGAATTTTCGAAGTCAATATCGATAGACTCTAAGGCGATTGTATTGACAACGTCGCGATTGTATGGATCATACGCGTTCACCCGAACTAAAAACATAATAGATCAAATCCATCACTGATCGCTGAACAAGTTGTCCTGGTGAATGCGCCCAATAGTTGGATTGGGTTTAAAAGTTTCGTTTGATTCTTAATTCACTAGTTTTTGTTTTTGTTTTGGTATTACATATACGAGGGTCGTCCGATAAAATGTCGGCCTATCTAATAGGCTGTTTACATTGGGACTGCGTCATGCTTCTTTGCGTCTTGGCGGAGACGCAGTTTTTTTTACATAGGTTAAGAAAACAAGACTTTTTTGAATTATTCTTTATACCCGTACTCATAAATAGTTAAGGGGTATATTAGATTTGTGGTAAAAGTGGATGTGCGCAAAGCAGAGGAGGAAACGTTTCCGACCCCATAAAGTATATATATTCTTGATCAGCATCAATAGCCGAGTCGATATAGCCATGTCCGTCTTCTTTGTCCAGACTCCAGACTCATATGATATCACAATGCTTCAAGTGTATTTCAAAATTTCGCCCGCCCCCTTCCTCCTCAACAAAGGACGAAAATCTGTGCCAGCCAAAATTTTTAAGATACGAGAAAACTCAAAACGAAGTATAGTAGAGAATGACCAATCTACCATATCAGATCAATATTATAGCCAGAATAAAAAAATTAATTTTCAGTTGCTTCCTCCACCTCCTCCGGCGCTCTTTCTCGTTCGCACAAACTCTGCCCTGTGCAATGCGCGACCTTTGTGGATAGATGTAGGATCGTCATTGTGTATGTATAATCTGCATTTTAGATGTGTAATCGACATTGTAGATGTAGATAACAGATGTAGCAAAAAAATGTAATACATAAAATATTTAAAAATTCTACATAAATCATGAGCTCACAAATTTATATACTGACTGAGTACGGGTATACAAGTAGAGTCGCGTCCAAAGAAACGACTCACACGTTCGTTCTCGTTTTTATTTGTCTACATAATCTTTTTTAAGCTCAATATACATGTCCCAGAATTTCTCTAATTTTTTGATCATTTCCAAATAAAATAGGATTAGTCGATGTCGTTAAAATATGTATTTTTTGTGAGATGACTTCATCGTTAGACTCAAATCTTTTTCCAAAGAGCCATTTGTTGAAAAAAAAAAAATAGTCACTAGTGGACTAAATCCAGAGAATAGGGTGGGTGAGGGACCAATTCGTGGCTTAATTAATGGATTTTTGAAATGAAACTGCACATGTCTGCAATCTTGCATTGTGCTGTTGGAAAATAACTTATTTCTTAGCCAAAAGCCGTCGTTTCATTTTCAAATCATCATTAAATCGATCCAATATGTGGATTCCTAGGGCTTCCAGATTCTGGAATCCAGAATATCTTGCAAATTCAATCGCCGATCGGCCAACACCATTTTGTGAATTTTGTTCAATTTCTTCGGCTATATGACCATAACTAGGAGTGCAGCACAGCGATAATGTGAAACACTATCGATATCAAAAAGATTCGAAAACCAGAGCATGGCTGATAGAAATTGCGAACTTTGCAGAAAGTTGTACCAATAATTTATATAATGTATATACATACATACATATATGGTTACCTAAACATAATCAGAGGTGGTTTAGGTGGGTGGAATAGGGTTTATTTTGCATTTTAATCATTTTATCATATCAGAACAATTGGTTTTTAATTTTTTTCTCAGATGATATAAAATATCATTCTCAGATGTGCATTGGACTCGTTTTCGAGTTCAGACGATACGTATGTGGTTTTTGTGATTGTCTTCTCACACTACTGCTAATTTAGTTCATTACAATTACCAGTTTTTGGTATAATGATCGCTATGCTTCTATGTGTGCTGCCATTGGTCTGCACTTGGCCTAACAGGGGTTTTTGACATAAATGCAATGCAACTAATGGGTAGAAATGGTTTGCTAGTTTTATTTTGGTATTTTGAAGTGATGCCACCTGGTAGAACTTCAAATGACTACAAATGTTTCCACAATTTGCACAAAAAGTGTGCACACTTTTGATGTAAAGGGAGTTTTATAAAATGCTTTTAATATGATCAATATTAAATATCTTGCTCCGAATTCCGCTTAAAACAGGTGGCCACCTCGGACGCCAGCAGATTGAGCGCGGAATCGTTAAATGAAAATTCAGTCAGCGGATTATATAGTGATTTACTAAAATGCTTATTTTATTAACTTAACATGTATAATGTTAAAATTTTTGGATGAGGATTAATCAACAATTGAACAACCTTTATGGAAAAATAAGATTTAGATCGTTCTCAGTATGTTTTATGGGTGTATTTAATCAAATCGCGGAGTTGTTTCTAAAATTCATTTTCGGAAGAGGATAAACCTTTTACGAATAATGTTCATATTTCTAATCACAGCTGCTAAAAATCTTTAAAAAGCTAATCTATTTATTGATCTTTTTATAATTTTGTAGGAATGGAATACTTAGAGTTCTTGGATATATCACATAATAAGCTGAAAACTATTTCTAAGAACATATTTGGTATTCGTAACGTCGCACAAAATGTTCGGATTCTAGCCAACGCTAATTTATGGCACTGCGACTGTACACTACAAAATGAAATGAATGAAATTTTTGCATACCATTCATCAACATTGCCAATGTATTGTTGGTCTCCAGAGGTATTCAAGAACTACTCGGTATTTGATGAACGGTTTTGCGATAGCAAGGATACCGAAGAATCATTAGAAGCTGACAGCACAACGATGACAGCACCAACAATCACCTCACAAAGCTCCACCATGAAAACAACGGAAAGTCCAATATACGTACCAACACTACCGACACCAGCCACAGTACCTCCTAACGAAGTTATAGCACTGGAGTGTCTTGCACAAAATCAGACTGGTACAAAGACGCAGGAAAATATTAGACAAAATTTATGGTGGCCCCAAATAAATTTTATTCCGAAAACACATGGATCACTCACAGTTCAAATTACAGTGCAATTGGAAGAAATAAACGGTTTCACATTTGGCATATTTTGGTTTTCTAAGACAACAAAAGAGTACTATATGATGGAGCTTTTTCCTGACGAGTACGGTTTGGGTTGTTATTTTACAATGCCACTTAAAACAATTGTTACGGACTTAGTTCCTAACGTTGCTTATACCTTCTGCCTGATCGACTCGAGTCAAAATAGCGTATCACCGTTTAGTTGTAAATCTGTGCACATAAGCGGAAACATAGAAGTTTATTATAATTCTTGGATTTCAGAACATATTCGCTCAAATGTAATTTAAAAAAAACCGTTTTATTTGATTTAAAATAAATTTATATATTTTTCATTTTTAAGGGCATGTCGTGGATGATCTTGGGAATCGTGGCATTTATATTTCTGGGCATAATATTTATGTTTCTAGTACTGAAGCGAAAGCCCGTTTTGTTAAGAGGCAGCAAACGTGTAATGAAACCGAAGTGCAGCTCTGGTAATATAGTCGTATTGCCTCGTGGCAATACTGTTCAAAACCTAGAGAGACAAGAAGCTTTAATTTCGGGAAGTAAGCCAGAAAGGTATGTGATATATATTCTTACTCACTGTTATTAATATATGCATTCCATTTACAAAGGCTACTTTCCTGTATTTCGAGGCACAACTCTTCTGATAGTATTTCCAGTACTCAAAGCTATATGATCGCGAACCTCTACGAAAGCGTACCAGCCTACATGACATTGGACGAAATTTCTATAACGATTGATAAAGGATCTTTCTTCGTAAAAGATACACAAATATCAAAACTTTCAAAACGACTTTCGAGTGACCCTCTCCCAGCCGTACCAAAAAAGTAAACGTAGAGGCATAGTTACTTCTTTATTGTAAAATTATCGATTATATACATATATACAATATAAAAATGACTCTTGTGAACTACATATATCGAAATGTTTAATTTTTAAAAATCCTTTAAACTATATGTTTTTGAATACGAAATTTTCTGCCAGAGATTTAGTTTGTTGTCGCTTGCACCACTTGATGGTGCAGTCATTTTGCGAGAAATCGATGACTGGATTGAGAGTATTATTTTGGATAGCAAAAAGGGGCGTGTGAAAGAATTATTTTTGCACAATTACACAGCTATATAGTCCTCATTCAGGAGCCTTCTATGCCGACTCAGCGCCTAGTGGTGCCGAAGTATGGGACTCTAACCCACTAACACCTTCAGTGATTTGGTGCTCCCGTGTCCCCTTATCTGTCTCGAATATGAGCACTCGGTCTCTGAGATAGTCAGCGATGATTATCTGAAAATACGGCGGTACTTGGAAGTTTTTCAATGCTTCTAGTATGTGGTCCCAACTGGCAGAGTTAAACTCATTTTGGACGTCGAGTGTTGTCACTATGCAGTACTCTTTGCTCCCATACATTCATCGGGTGCCATCTATAGCTCCCTTTGCTATCTCACATACCTCGCCGATTGCGTCCACCGTGGAGCTACCTTTGCGGAACCCTTACTGTCTCGGTGAGAGTTGACGCGTTACAGCTTCCTCCAGCCTTGTGTGGATTATGCGCTCGAGAATCTAGCATTCAGAGTTGTCTGTAGGATGATGGCTCCTCGGTCGGCTTGTTTCCTTTGGGTATAAGGACAAGCCGCTGTCGCTTCCATGGTCTGGGGAATATTCCTTCGGACATGCACGCGTTGAAGAGTCCCACATAGGTTTTGTGGATTTGTCTCCATCGCAGTGCGGAGTACGGCATTTGGGACTCCATCAGGTCCCGGTGCTTTGCCGTCCTTGCTCCGAGTTAGAGCTTCGAGGATTTCTGCTTCTGAATTGGGTTCTATTTCAAGTGGGGGAATTCCTTCCGTCACTCTCTGGGCTGACACTGAAATAGAGTTCCCACTATGTTTGTCAGCAGATCTGCACACATTGGCGGCGGGGAACTGAACACTCGCAGTTTCTTCATCACCAGCCTGTATGCGTAGCCCCAAGGGCGTTACCCAGCCCTCCGCTCGCTCCTTGGGGACTGCCGCTGGTCCCTGGCGGGCTACAGCATCCCTCATTGGGGCTTCTTGAGGCTTCTTTGCCTTCTGTGGCTTTTTGTGCCCATGCTTTGCCTTCTTTGGGGTTGGGGACGGGTGGGTGGTGCTTCGGGCCTCTGGACGTGAACTCTTTCCCACCCGCTACGTACCTTCCGGCTCCGCTTGCTCTTCCGGATGGCTGGCCTTGGCTGCAGCCTGCTCCGCACTGACCGCCTGCTTCGCGCTGGCCACCTTCCAGTACGATTCCACGTCTCGCTGCAGGTAGGGGCGCTGCAACGCCGGGGGAGACGACGTTCCTCCACTGCCTGTATTGGCTGCGTTGGAGATCTGGCGATCGTTGCCCTTCCTCTAAAGGGATTTTCGTCATCCCATGCGAATGAGCTTGTAAGCGGAGTCCTGCAAGCTGTCGCTGGTTCAGGTTCCGGTTGCATCTGGTCGCTCATCTCTGATGAGCTCCTATTTCCACCGGTCTGGCAACCCTGCGTTATGGCAACGTTCTGCGCTCCGATCGTTTCACCGCACTTTTTGGTGGGTGTGATCTGGCAACGCCCTGCCATCTGATCGGCCGTCGCTTCCTAACACCACTTGCAGAGTGTTTGGCCAAAAATAGCACAAACGAGAAGGAACGTGTGAGTGGTTTCTGGGGTTACGACTCTACTTATACCCGTACTCAGTCAGTATATACATTTTTGAGCTTATAATTTTTTAGAATTTTAGAAAAAAAAAAAGTTTTACATTTTAAATTTTTTTGCTACATCTGCTATCTACATCTACATATACAATGTCTATTCTACATCTAACATGTAGATTATACATGTACCATTTAGATTCTACACCTCCTCCGCTAGGGGTTGCTCGCGCACTGAACGCGGCAGAGTGTGCGAGCGACAAGGAAAATGAGTTGTGATGTCCTTGGCAGGAGGGGGCAGGGGTAGCAACTTAAAATTAATTTCTTCATTCTGGCTATAATTATGATCCGATCTGATTCAAATTCGGCAATCTGGTAGATATGGTCATTCTCTACGATACTGCGCTTAGTTTTATCGTATCTTTAAAATTGTGGCTGCCACAGATTTTCGTCCTTTGTGTTGGCGGAAAGGGGCGGGGCGAAATTTTGAAATACACTTATAGCAGTGTGATATCACATGAGTCTGGAAACAAAATTTGGTTCCTATAGCTTTTATAGTCTCTGAGATCCAGGCGTCAAACAAGACGGACAGACGGACAGACAGACATGGCTCTATCGACTCGGCTATTGATGCTGATCAAGAATATATATACTTATATATATTATATTATATATTATTATATATACTGCGTTACACACATCCACTTTTACCACAAATCTAATATACCCCTTAACTCTTTTTTGAGTACGGGTATAAAAACACTTGACAAAGCAAGTGGCGACAATAAATAGAACAGGGAAAGGAAATCAGGCGCTTACCTGCGGTGCCTTGAGGTTCCTGCTTATATTTATGAATACGTATAATATAATACATTTTTTTTAGAAGGAGGAGGGAGTGATTTGCTTGTATACATGTTTTTGTATGCTCAGCATTTTTTCCGCCCAGGGGTGTTTCCGACCCGATAATCAGGGGACGGATCTATCAAAAATTTTACTTAAACATACAACAAAACACTAATCAAACGTTCTCCATGGTCTCGGCTTCGTTGGCACTTACCAAAAATCTGCGATCCCATTTTTTTATCTTGGTTTCGCCCTTCTCCCCGCTCTCGAAATCTATTCCAACCCAGTTGCCATTTCATCGACAACAAGTGACATGAACCAGCTGAAAATTTAAGTAAATAAACGATCTTAAACTAAAAAGAGTCTTCTTAGTGCAATAAATAAATAGGAGAGGGGTGTGTCGTTCGGGGGGGAAATAGTCACCGCTTACATTTTTTTTCAAACGAAAATATACTTTATTCTATATGTGCTTTTAACTCTTTCTTTTTTTGTCTTCCTTTTTTTTTGTAAATAACTGATATGTGCGTGTGACTGAATTTGGAATTTGGGATCGTTTGGGATTTTGTTAATGGATATGTGTCTGCTGCTGCCGTTGTCGTCACCGTTGTTTCCTCGTCGTGTCCGGTCTTCGTTCCCGTTGCCTTCGTGGTCACTGTGTTTTCTCCTTTTATTTTTTTGTTTTAAATTATTTTTTCTTTTTGGTCAACACACGTGTGCCTCGCTTAAACCTTTTCCCCTTTCATGGTCTCGTTTCCTCTTTCCTCCAGTGCAACCCTGCTCCAGCCTCCCAGGATTCACAACAGAGGTCACTATCTCTTCTCCTTCTCAAAACCTATCACCTATCGTGTTCATCCCAAGCCGTCCATAGAACCACAGTACAGTTTGCAAGTCTTGAAGTCGGGAGTGCAAAACCAAGGCGGCTTCTGGATTTTATAAGCCCAAACGTAGGCCATCGCCCACACCCTGAGATCGAGAGGCTCATGTTCCACCGACGGAGATGAATGGGCTATTGTTTGAGATCCTTCGCATGGAGCACTCCTAACCGGGCCCCTTGTAACGTCTCCAGCTCGTACAGGTTGTTTCCGATTCCACGGACCACTCTGCACTTAATATACTTTGAGCCGAACTTGGCTTTAACGTTGTTCTTGAAGCTGCTTAACATGAAATTTCGCTTGTATACTTCCTGTCCAGATAAGTACCGAATATCTCGTGCTCCGATCATACTGCTTCTTTGATCTCTCGTAGGCCATATGCGAGTTCTTGCGGACTTCCTTGCGGATGATCTCCTGCTGATCGTGTCTCGCCATCAGTAATATTTGCGCATCGTTCAACGCTCCCAGTCTCCGCGCCAATTTGTAGTCCCGCCCGCTGATGAACATATGCTGTCTGAACAGTACGAAGTACAGTGACGTCCCGATACTCGTATGTATGGTGCTTCTGGCCGCACACTATATCTCCGGCAGCTTCGCTGACATACGTGCGGATTGCTGCGAGGACAGTTTGATTAACGCGTTCCGCCACGCTCGCCTGAGGTGCATAGTTCCCCGACCTTATATGCGTTATGCTCCTTTTCCTAGGAATTTGGGTAAACTCGGCTGACACGAATTGTTTCTCATTGTCAGTGTGAACCGTTTCTGGAACGTTAAACTGAGGGAAGACCTCTTGCAGGAATCGGATCACGGCCGATGAAGTGGCTTTGGACAAGGCCTTCAACCTGACATACTTGGACATGTGGTCGAGGACTATTAGCATGACCACATTCTCACCTCGTGTCCTAGGATGTGGACCCAGAAAGTCGAGGTATATGTTATATATATATATATATATATATATATATATATATATATGCATTGGTCTCTCGGTAACGGTCTCGGCCCCCATCAATGGACGATTAACTTGCGCCGTGTGTTACGTCTCTTTACAGGTACCACACCCTGCGACATATGCCTTCACCTACACAGCCATCCGGGGCCAGTAATAATACTGCCACACCTCCGTGCATTGCCACATCGCTGTCGTGTGCCTGCTGGATCAACGTCTTCGTCAGGTCCTCTGGAATCCACAGTTTCCACTGGAACTCCTCCAGCTCTGGTCGGTTAAATTGCGTGCGCCTAAGCAGTAACTCATCCTCCACCTTCAGGTCTGGGAACATGTCTTGATCCTTCTGAACCGATTCTATCATCTTCAGATAAACCTCGTCCTCGAAGGCTGTGGTCTCGAACTCCAAGAAGTCTATAGCTTCTACGTCGAACGAAAGAGACAGCATATCCGCGACGACGTTATTCCCCTTTCGATGCTCTATTCCAAAGTCATAAGCCTGCAGAGCTAGAGACCACTTCGCTAGCCTACCATCCAGTACTTTAAACCTCATCAGCCACTGTAAGCTCGCGTGGTCTGCGATCACCGTGAATGGCATCAGCTCCACATATGCCCGGAATTTTTCTATGGCTCTCACTGCTACCAAGCACTCCTTCTCTGGCACGCTGTAGTTCAGCTGCGCGTCACTCATCTTCGCCGAAAAAATGCGATGGGGGGTTCGAACCTTCCTCATGCTTCTGGAAAAGAACCGCCCCAATCCCTACATGGCTTTCATCACACTGTATGAAGAAGTACCTTTTGAAGTCTGGGCGGTGTAACACTTAAGCGCCGGTAAGTGCTTGTTTTACATCTTCAAAAGACTCGCTTGCTTCGATCTGTAAGAGGAGCTGAGAGTACCGATAAATTACCGATGAACCGCCGATACCAGCCCGCTGTACCCAAAAATCTCCTGCTCTGCCTTACATTTTTCGGCATCGGTATCTGCGCGATCACCTGCACTTCTACGGATCGGTTCTCAGTGCGCCGTCGCCCACGACATATCCCAGGTACTTCAGGTACTTATAACAGAACTTTGACTTCTTCTTTCCTATTGTCTTATTCCAGTCTCCAGGCACGTTGCTACTTCCTGCAGCAGCTTCACATGCTCCTCAAATGTCCGGGAAATTACCAACAGGTCTTCCAAGTATACGAATACATGGCTTTGGAGTCGCTGTGGAATTACGCGGTCCATCAACCGACACAACCGCTGGGCTGCGTTGCACAAGCCGAAAGTCATCAATTTAAGCTGGTCGTGGCCTCCCTGGCACCGTAAATGCTGTATAAGTCCTACTCTCCGGCTACAGATCTATCTGCCAAAACGCATGCTTCAGATCGATGCTGCTGATGAAGACGGTGTCCTCTATGTGGCTCAGGATTGCCTCTGTACTCTGCAATTGGTAAGCATCCTTGACGGTCAAAGTATTTAGTTTCCTTGCATCTAAATATAGTCGATTTTTCCTAGGCTTCCGCACCAGAGTCACCCGAAGGCTCCACGGGCTTTCGCTCAGTTTGATAACCCCAAGACGCAACATTTCGTCGACTTCCGCAAACAACAGCTCCTGCACAGCCGGGGACACCGGGTATAAGCGTTCCTTCACGGGTACGGCTCCCTCGACGAGGCGTATCTCGTGCCTTTCAACGTCGTTCTTCGCAGTCCGTGCTTGTCAAAACACCGAAGCCTCTCTTTCACCTGGTCCAACCGAATCTGCTGTGCCTCTTCCCGACTATATGCGGAGGTTATCCGAACTGTCGCCAGAAATCGACCCACAGATAGAGTGCCTGCTTCAACGAGAGACACAGGAACAATTCCATTGTTTGCTTTTGGTCCTCATTTGTCATCACTGCCGTTACATGGCCCAGAATCTGATGAGGTGTGCCGCCCGCTGTTTGTACTGAGAAGGGTTTCTCGTCCTAAAGCTTCAGTTTTAATTCTTCGATTAACTCCAATCCACTTTTTCCCAGCAGGCTCACTGATGCCATTGTATCCAGCGTGTATCCCCGTGAGCTAGCTGGGAGCGATATACCAGGGCGGCAAAAAGGCGGATCATAACAAATGTCGCCCAATTTTAAAACGGAAGGTAGCGGTTTTGATCGAGGGATTTGAGATACTCATTTTAGGACTGAGCCTGCGAGAAAGGAAATTTAGCTGGTCCGTGAGCCGGGAATAAGCCCGAGCCAAAGTAGTCGTTGGGGGGAGAGGATAGAAGAAGTAGACGAGTGGATTTCGCGAGTTGTGGTACTTGCGGTGGCAGGTGGGCATTCGAAACATTGTTGTCCGACTCGAGGAGTCCACGGATAGAGTCTGTAGAAAGGAAGAGACATCGTGGGTCTGTCGAGTTGTTGTCCGTGTGATGCCGTGAAGGGCATCAGCATCGTTGCCCGGCTCGAGGGAACCAAGAGATCTGGAAAGGAACAGTAAGAGGAGTTGCCACTCCGGAGAGAAAAACAAAGAAAGCGGAAAATAATAGCAAGGGAAACGGATTGGTTCGCTCACCTGCTGCAACTGTGAGTTGCAGTTGTCTCTCGTCTCGCCAAATTAGTAAAGCCTGAAATAAAGATTTGTTTTGTTGACGTAATAGTTTTGGATTGGAATCAGTATTGTGAAAGTCATTCTCGGTGACTGAAGATCCTCGCTATCATTGTAAAGAAGCAATTTTAGGATTAGGTAGGAGAGCGAGGAAGGATTTATTTTTGGGATAGGAGTTATTTATTTATTTAGGGTATGAGTTTTCCTCAAGGAACAAAAAAAAACTTTTTCTTAAAGATTTAGGGCTAGAAATGGTTTGATGATATTTTTTTTTTCTATGCCAACACTTTTTTTTAAAGAATTATTTTAATCTGGTATTTTTTTGTAAACCTTTTTTCAGAGGTAGCGCTTCTTTTTTTCACGTAACTCTAATATCTTACGTCTGGTTGTAAAAAACTTTGCTATTTTGGAAGAAACTTTGGAAGGTTGCGGGCACAACTGCCAATTGGGAATTGGGACCGCGATGAGGTACCAAATGTACAACCCTTTTTCGTTTGCCTTGCTACCAATTGGGCCCGCAACCTTCGAAAAGGGGGTTTTTTGGTCGACGTTGTACATTTGGTACCTCATCGCGATCTCAATTCCCAATTGGCAGTTGGGCCCGCAACCTTCCACAGTTGCTTCCAAAATAACAAAGTTCTTTACAACCAGACGTAAGATATTATAGTTACGTGAAAAAAAGAAGCGCTACCTCTGAAAAAAGGTTTACAAAAAAATACCAGAATTCAAAAATTCTTCAAAAAAAAGTGCTGCCATAGAAAAAAACTATATTTCTTTAAAAGAATTCAAAGTCCCATATCTATCAGAAAAAGTCGGTTTGGATCCTTGAAGAAAAAAAGTTGGATTTTGTCGAGTAGTGTTATTTACGTAGGTGTTTATTTATTTAAACATTTGTGTGAGTGTTCGTGTATTAATATATTATACTGTTTATTTATTTATTCTCTCGTCGTCCATTAATGTATTTAGGTTTTTGGTAGGATAATTGAGTTAGCACCAACACATATACACGTAGATTGAGTTTACATACATATATTGATGCATAGGTGACTAGGTAGTAGGTAAAGGAAACATATATTGGTTGATGAGTGACCCGGAAGTGTTTAAAGGGTCGGGAAAAACTAGGAGAAGCCCTGAAGTGCAGAGGAGGTACCAGCCATACGGAGTGCCGACGACTAGGTCCCAGGACGGGAAAGTTGGCAGTGGGCCGGAACGAGCGTCGCAGGTGCCAGGACACGACAACGCTATGCTTATGGGCCTGGATGACCCAGAGGTCGGGGCAGTAGACGGCCATGCAATTCGGGTGGACCGCGAGCTACCCAGCGAGTTGAGAACAGGTGTAAGTATAGCGATAGCGCAGGCTCAGGAAACATACCGAGCTTCTTTGGGCCAACAGATGGAAGCGCTCAGAGCCTCGATGCAAGCTGACATGCTAGAATTTATGAAGCAGATAAATGCGGTGGTAGGCTCTCTAAAAGTGGATCGAACGCCCAGTGATGTGGATAGGAGAAATCTGGGCTCACATAGCACCAGTCTAGGAGGAGGTCAGCAGGAAATGCCCTCGAACCTAGCAAGCTCCACCCTCGCAGGACTGTTTGTGGATAGACACTAGTCAACACGATTTTTCCTCAAGGAACAAAACGAACTTTTTCTTAAAGATTTGGGGCATAGAAATGGTTTGATGATATTTTTTTTTTCTATGGCAGAACATTTTTTAAAGAATTTTTGAAAACTGGTATTTTTTTTAAGCTTTTTGGTGCGCGGCTCTAGTATTTTTTTGTAAACCCTTTTTTCAGGGTAGCGCTTCTTTTTTCACGTAACTCTAATATCTTACGTCTGGTTGTAAAAAACTTTGCTATTTTGGAAACTTTGGAAGGTTCGGGCACAACTGCCAATTGGGAATCGCGATGAGCTAAATGTACAACCCTTTTGCGTTTGCCTTGCTACCAATTGGGCCCGCAACCTTCGAAAAGGGGGTTTTTTGGACGACGTTGTACATTTGGTACCTCATCGCGATCCCAATTCCCAATTGGCAGTTGTGCCCGCAACCTTCCACAGTTGCTTCCAAAATAACAAAGTTCTTTACAACCAGACGTAAGAATTATAGTTACGTGAAAAAAAGAAGCGCTACCTCCTGAAAAAAGGTTTACAAAAAAATACCGAATTCAAAAATTCTTCAAAAAAAAGTGCTGCCATAGAAAAAAACTATATTTCTTTAAAAGAATTCAAAGTCCCATATCTATCAGAAAAAGTCGGTTTGGATCCTTGAAGAAAAAAAGTTGGATTTTGTCGAGTAGTGTTATTTACGTAGGTGTTTATTTATTTAAACATTTGTGTGAGTGTTCGTGTATTAATATATTATACTGTTTATTTATTTATTCTCTCGTCGTCCATTAATGTATTTAGGTTTTTGGTAGGATAATTGAGTTAGCACCAACACATATACACGTAGATTGAGTTTACATACATATATTGATGCATAGGTGACTAGGTAGTAGGTAAAGGAAATATATATTGGTTGATGAGTGACCCGGAAGTGTTTAAAGGGTCGGGAAAAACTAGGAGAAGCCCTGAAGTGCAGAGGAGGTACCAGCCATACGGAGTGCCGACGACTAGGGGTCCCAGGACGGGAAAGTTGGCAGTGGGCCGGAACGAGCGTCGCAGGTGCCAGGACACGACAACGCTATGCTTATGGGCCTGGATGACCCAGAGGTCGGGGCAGTAGACGGCCATGCAATTCGGGTGGACCGCGAGCTACCCAGCGAGTTGAGAACAGGTGTAAGTATAGCGATAGCGCAGGCTCAGGAAACATACCGAGCTTCTTTGGGCCAACAGATGGAAGCGCTCAGAGCCTCGATGCAAGCCGACATGCTAGAATTTATGAAGCAGATAAATGCGGTGGTAGGCTCTCTAAAAGTGGAGCGAACGCCCAGTGATGTGGATAGGAGAAATCTGGGCTCACATAGCACCAGTCTAGGAGGAGGTCAGCAGGAAATGCCCTCGAACCAGCAAGCTCCACCCTCGCAACTGTTTGTGGATAACACTAGTCAACACGATTTTTCCTCAAGGAACAGAACGAACTTTTTCTTAAAGATTTGGGGCATAGAAATGGTTTGATGATATTTTTTTTTTCTATGGCAGAACTTTTTTAAAAGAATTTTTGAAAACTGGTATTTTTTTTTAAGCTTTTTTCAGAGGTAGCGCTAGTAGCTCTAGTATCTTACGTCTGGTTGTAAATAACTTTGCTATTTTGAAAAGATAATTAAAACAGCTACAAGGTAAGCCGAAACACTTTGTGATTTTAGCTTAGCCTCTGGGAAATATAAAGCATTGAATTGCAAAAATGATTTTTTTTGTGTGGTATTTTTAACGAAATTTTTAATTTAAAAACTCAGGAAAAGTCGAATAAAAATTATATCATGTGACGTTAATTTTTTTTATAGGTGCACTAATTAGGCGTCTTTAAAGGTATTGCTCATTCAAATCTATTGCGAAACTTTGGTGCTAAAATTCGTTAACCAAACCTAAAAAATGAAAAAATAAAAAAGACAAAAAAACCCCTTTTCGAAGGTTGCGGGCCCAATTGGGAACAAAGCAAACGAAAAAGGGTTGTACATTTGGTACCTCATCGCGATCCCAATTCCCAATTGGCAGTTGGGCCCGCAACCTTCCAAAGTTGCTTCCAAAATAACAAAGTTCTTTACAACCAGACGTAAGATATTAGAGTTACGTGAAAAAAAGAAGCGCTACCTCTGAAAAAAGGCTTACAAAAAAATGCCAGATTTAAAAAATTCAAAATCTAATACAAAAAAGACCAAAAAACCCCCTTTTCGAAGGTTGCGGGCCCAATTGGGAACAAAGCAAACGAAAAAGGGTTGTACATTTGGTACCTCATCGCGATCCCAATTCCCAATTGGCAGTTGGGCCCGCAACCTTCCAAAGTTGCTTCCAAAATAGCAAAGTTTTTTACAACCAGACGTAAGATATTAGAGTTACGTGAAAAAAAGAAGCGCTACCTCTGAAAAAAGGTTTACAAAAAAAATACCAGATTAAAATAATTCTTTAAAAAAAAATTTTGGCATAGAAAAAAAAATATCATTAAACCATTTCTAGCCCTAAATCTTTAAGAAAAAGTTTTTTTTGTTCCTTGAGGAAAACTCATACCCTAAATAAATAAATAACTCCTATCCCAAAAATAAATCCTTCTTCGCTCTCCTACCTAATCCTAAAATTGCTTCTTTACAATGATAGCGAGGATCTTCAGTCACCGAGAATGACTTTCACAATACTGATTCCAATCCAAAACTATTACGTCAACAAAACAAATCTTTATTTCAGGCTTTACTAATTTGGCGAGACGAGAGACAACTGCAACTCACAGTTGCAGCAGGTGAGCGAACCAATCCGTTTCCCTCGCTATTATTTTCCGCTTTCTTTGTTTTTCTCTCCGGAGTGGCAACTCCTCTTACTGTTCCTTTCCAGATCTCTTGGTTCCCTCGAGCCGGGCAACGATGCTGATGCCCTTCACGGCATCACACGGACAACAACTCGACAGACCCACGATGT